CCCCTACACACACACACACACCCATTGAATCCTCAGCAGTGGCCATTTTTCTCTTAGCCCAGGAGTTCTAGGCTCCTTCTCTGGGCTTTTCTGGAATAAATGTTCAGCAGCTACCTTGCTCAGTTTTCGCCCTTCCCCAGATGAGGCCTTTTGGAAACCACCAAATTAACATGACCTGGGTTCCCAGCCTTGACCATCACTATCACTGCCTTCTTTATTAAAAAGAAAAAAAGGCTGGTAAGGAAGGAGTGTTAAGGCCTTGGCAAACTGCACCAAAAACTCAGCTGAGCCTGTCCCTGTGCCTACTTAGGTCTCCTCCTTCACTTCTTTCTGCTCCTTGAATATTTATGTCCATTTTAATGCTTTCTGGTTCCGAGAGGGATGTACCTCTGTGATTTCCTCAACAGCTCTGGTGTTTTGCCATCTTTCTAGCCCCACCAAACTCTGCTTAGGAAATGGGAGCCAGCTCCACTGGGAACCAAAGCTTTGCTTCCTTGTTATTTAATTGGAGTTTCCTAGGAAGTCTCCTCCAGGTAAATATCTCTGAAAAGGAGGGCTTGTTGGAGAACACTGCTTCCTGAAACTTCCTGTTATTGCCTGAAACTGTTTCTGAAACCGAGTAGGGAAAGGCATACTCTCTCAAAGAGTTGGAGGTTTTAAGGCCTTGGAAATGGGACAGGTCTTTCAGGCCTACAGCTTCACACTAAAGAAGCGATAGATTTATTTGTTTCCTTGGAAAGACTTGCAGTTTGACTGGCTCAGAGATGACACTGTAGACTCTCCAGATGATCAAAGCTAGTTTGACTAGTTTCAGCCTCATCTGATATTCATCCTTTTGGCCATTGTCATTGATGAAACTAAGATCTGCAATCTGATCTGTCTTCTCTGCTGGTATCTTTTTATGATCTGCCTTCTTCCATTTAAGGATTCAGTTTCAGAGATAGTTTCTTGAGTAATTCCAGCATTATAAAAAATTTTAACAATATAAGCAGCATGAGATTTTATATCCTACCTAAGAGTTGGATTCCTTTCAGAGACTCATTTGCTGCTTTAGAGGTTTCTGGGTGGACCAGAAAGTCTGGAGTAACCGTAGGAATCTTGAAATGAGTCTCTTCCCCCAACCCAGCTCTATTTAACACTCTCATGTTTGTTTGCCTTTTTTTTTTTTTTTTTTTTTTTTTTTTT